TGTTCTATTCGGTTGTATTAGAAAGTATAAATAATCTTGCACCATAAAAGTCGTTGCAGTCATTTTCTGCCACATTTGGACCACGGCGAGGATCGTCACCTCCGAACCGAAGGACATGAAAAGAATGGATTTGCTGATAAGAGTTTCCTCAGCCCTGGAGACGGGTGAGAAGGACACCTTTGCAGGGAGGTGATTCAGGCGTCTCCTTCTGAGAGGAAGCCCCAAGGTAGGGATTTCATCTGACCCGGAAATGCTGTGGGATCCTGACGGAGGAGATTGCTGGGCAGAGGAAGATCTGAGCTTCCCAGGTATCCCTGCTGGACTGTTGCATGGAAATGTAAAACAACTATTGATAATTCCAAGAACAAACCGCCATCGTGACCATTCCTCCTGGTGGGATTTTAACCAACGGATCAGTTCACAGAGCTGCTTTTGTGCAGGTCTGACAACAAACATCATGATGTTCAGTTTCTAGTAAATAAAATGTAAAAGAACAGTTAAAGTGCTGATTGTGTGTTATGTGATGCAGCTGATTACGTCTGTGTGAGAAAGAAAATACATTTCAGCTCGTTGGTGAAATCAGAGCCGAGTCCTGCATGTTTTCCTTTCCCCAAATTCACAGCATGAAGGAGTCGCCGGAGTCTCTGCAGGGCAAAATGACACCTGCACACCCCAGCACAATGCTACTGTGTGTGTGTGTGTGTGTGTGTGTGTGTGTGTGTGTGTGTGTGTGTGTGTGTGTGTGTGTGTGTGTGTGTGTGTGTGTGTGTGTGTGTGTGTGTGTGTGTGTGTGTGTGTGTGTGTGTGTGTGTGTGTGTGTGTGTGTGTGTGTGGTGGGGGTGGTGGTGGGGGGGGGTGCTGCTGACATGTTACATCTTTAGGAATGAGTCTGCAGTAAAGACTTCAGCAGATTCTTATCAGTGGCAGTTAGTGAAGACAAACATGGCCACCTTCTGCTCCGCTGATAGCTCAACACACACACACACACACACACATGAAGACACATGCACGCAAACACACACACACACTCTAGCATGGGCATCACAGAGAAAGCACATGCCTGGTTTGAATCGTACCTCACAGGATGATCATTCAGTGTATCTTGGCTTGGACAATCGTCTACCGTGCACCATCTTGCCACAGGAGTCCCCCAGGGCTCAAAACTAGGACCTCTTTTCTTTGCCATATACACCACCTCACTGGGAGAGATCATTCGATCACATGGCTTCTCCTTCCACTGCTATGCAGACGACACCCAGCTCTATCTGTCATTTCCACCGGACGACCACACTGTCTCTGCACGAATATCAAACTGTCTCTCTGACATATCAAAATGGATGAAATGCCACCGTCTCCAACTCGACCTCTCTAAAACTGAACTACTTGTCATCCCAGCAAAACCATCCATACAGCACAATATCTCAATCCAAAATGACTTCCTATCTCTGGCTCCTTCAAAGGCAGTTCGAAATCTGGGTGTTGTGATTGATGGACACCTGACCTTTAAAGTTCATAATGTCTCTGTAGCTCGTTCATGCCGCTTTGCGCTGTATAACATACGAAAGATCAGACCATTCCTAACACAACATGCCACCCAGCTCCTGGTGCAATCTACTGTCATCTCCCGCCTCCATTACTGCAACGCCCTTCTAACTGGTCTTCCAGGCTGTACTGTGAGACCTCTTCAAATGGTCCAGAACGCAGCGGCGCGTCTGGTCTTCAATCAGCCAAAAAGAGCACACGTCACCCCTCTGGTCATTGAGCTACACTGGCTACCGCTAGCAGCACGCATCAAATTCAAATTGCTAACACTAGCATACAAAGTCCGAGATGGTACGGCTCCCATCTACCTGAATCCTCTTGCAAAGGCTTACGTCTCGGCCCGGCCGCTCCGGTCATCACAGGATCGTCGGCTAGCAGTGCCTACACCACGCTCAGGATAATCCAGACTCTTCTCATGCATCATTCCACAAATGTGGAATGACCTTCCAAGCACTACCAGAACAGAGGCTTCCTTTTCAATTCAAGAAACTCCTGAAGACCCTGCTCTTCAGAGAGCATCTTCTAAACTAACACCCTCCCTGCACCCGTCCCTCCTCTCTGCTGTCCACTCCTTGTTCCCTCCTCTCCATGATTGATGTCAAGTTGTTGTTGTTGTTGTTATTGTTGTTGTTGGCCTCAAGGGCAATATGCCGATTATCACTTGTAAGTCGCTTTGGACAAAAGCGTCTGCTAAATACATAAACATAACACACACACACGCACAAAGACATGTGCACGCGCACACACACACAAACACACACACACACACATATTAAGGCACACTCATGCACACACACACACACACACACACACACACGGTTATGTTTCCCTGTAATTCATCACATTTTGATCTAAAATCTTGTTTTTCATCAGTTTGAGTAAAAACGTCTCCCTGTTTCTCCAAACTGAGGCTGCTCTGTTTTATCTGCTGCAGGTAAGATCCTGACGGATCAGTAAACACATTAAAACTATAACTTAAATAGCCGAGTGCCTGTCTGAAACCAAATGTTAACGTTTAAAATCAAGTGAAAATGAACTTTTCTACATTGTGATGAAATCACTTCCAATTAAAACCTGAAGGGTTTGTTCAGATGGACGACTAAAAGTCTCCAGACCTAAAGATCAAATAGTGAACTCCAAGTTTAACACCAGTGACTCGTGACTTCACTTGGACTGAAACTAAAATACTTTTAACTCAACTTAAATTTAAATTAACTCCATTTATCAACTTTTAGATAAGCTGTTAACTGGAAGAAAAATGCAGAATCAACACTTTTTTTCAGTTTCTGGAGGTTTTTTTCTTTTTATTCTGAGATTAATCCAGATTAATCCAGATTAATCCAGATTAATCCAGAGGGTTCAAATGAAGACAGCTGGACTTCTTTGGTTTCTTGAGAACGTGGATGTTGACCTGGATGACCGAGAACCTTCAGCATGTTCTGTGATTAAATCAAAACTAGGTCAAATGATTTGTTTGAAAGTTAAACACAAACTGCAGAAGACCGACTCACTCGTGATGTCTTTATTTAAACTGTTCTTTTTGTTTATTTTATTTATTTATGCCTAAACTTCACTGGTGAAGATCAGCTGAGTGAAGCAACTGAGTCGTTAGACATGAAAAGTAAAAACGTTTTTGTGTTCAACAAGTCACACCTGAAACAGCTCGGTGATCGTGTGACTGATCCAGTTTTCTAATGGAACCGTGAAGCTTCCATTAGACATCACTCTTCTTCTGCGGAGACTAAATCTGTCAGGAGGAGGTTGAATCCAACCAGAGCTGCTGTTCAAACCCACGTGAACTCCTCCTGACGGGAATGTTCGCCGTGGGATCAGCTTGGAAAAAAATATGAAAACATCCAAGAGTCACGCAGGAGAAATGAGAAACACAAGAATACTCAGCCTCCCGTGTATGCACGCACACACACACACACACACACACACACACTCATGCACGCACGTACACACACACACATACTGATGCACGCACATACACACACACACATGCACACACACAAATGTACATGCACGCACACACACACACACACACACATACTCATGCACGCACGTACACACACACACACACACACACACACACACACACACACACACACACACACACAAATGTACATGCATGCACACATGCACACACACACACATGCACACACACACACACACACACACACACACACATACTCATGCACGCACGTACACACACACACACACACACACACATGCACACACACAAATGTACACGCATGTACACATGCACACACACACATGCACACACACACACTCATGCACGCACGTACACACACACGCACGTACACACACATGCGCATGTACACACACACACACACATGCGCGCATGTACACACACGTACTCACACACACACACACACACACATGCGCACATGTACACACACGTACTCACACACACACATGCACGCACACACACTCATGCATGCACGTACACACACACACATGCACGCACACACACTCATGCACGCACGTACACACACACACATGCACGCACACACACACACATGCACGCACACACACACACATGCACGCACACACACACACATGCACGCACACACACACACTCATGCACGCACATACACACACATACACACGCACGCACGTACACACACACACATGCATGCATGTACACACACATACATACACACACACACTCATGCATGCACGTACACACGCACACACACTCACACACTCATGCACGCACACACACACGCACATGCGCACACACGCACACACGTCTGTTTTTCTATCATAGTGAGGACCCTCCATTGCCTTCCATTCATGTTTGTGACTCCACTATACCTAACCCATACCCTAACCAGAGCTGATCTGTTCCTAACCCTGACCTTAACCAAAACTTCATTCACACCAAACCTCTACAACCAGCTGGTAAGCTTCTAAAACAGCGAGGACCAAAAAACATTCTCACTTTGTAGAGAAAATGGTCAAAATGGTCCTCAGTGTGTAGTAAGTACAAGAGCACATCGCATGCACGCGCGCACACACACACACACACACACACATACAAACACACACACACAGTTATTTTAGCCCGTATATCAGGTTCCAACACAACTCACTTCTCTTTAAGAGATTTATTTATGAATAAGCAACAACACATAATAATAATAATAATAATGTTATTTTGAAATAACTTTTCTTTTAAAGTTGCTGTGGCTTAAATTAATCTTCTAATAAATTATAATAAATCATTTCAGCTGTTTTTAAAACTTGTTTATATGATTTTTCTTTAAAACAGACCTTAAATGAAGCTTTTTTTAAATCAACAACTATTCAATTTTCTTTCAGAATTAACTATTTTATAGATGTCGTTCAAATATTTTCACTTCATATCAAAGTGTTAGACAGTAAAAATGTTTATTCCTAATTTAATCTCAGAAGATTTTAAATTGTAAAGCAGATTTTTTTTCCAAGTAATTATTTTTTTCTGCATAAGGAAAAATAAAGAATAAAAGATGAAAGGTTTTAATCGTGTAAAAATAACCAAATCCATTTCATGGCAGCAATAATAAAAATGTTTTTATTAAACCCGGAGCGTGGACAAGCCCTTCCGTGGCGGAGCTGGTGCTGAAACCTGTTAGAACATCCTCCAGCCTGTTGGAGAACATCGCCTCCATAATAAAACCACTTCATGAAACTCGAGCATGTCAAACCTTAAACACGCAGGAAATCCCTTCGGACACACGAGAGTTCTGAATCGTATAAAGTTTATTACCGAGAGGAAAACGCTGGTTTAAATAATCAAACAATAAAACAGCATCAAATAGAATATACTGTACATTCATTTTTACAGAGAAAGCATTCAAACTGACCACAGCGCTGATGTTCTTACTGCATCCCAAACAGCTGACCTTTGACCTTTAGTGCAACAAACGTAAAGTTACTGGAATGCTCGGCTCATGGTGGGCGGCGGCCGTTTCAGAATGGCCTCCACAGAGAAGGAGAGCGACTCGCCGGCTGCCATCTTGTTGCCAGGTTTGCTCGCAAAGTCTTTTCCATAGCGGTCAGTGACCTTTAACCCCTGAATGTCCTTGGCGGCGCCCTCCCTTAACTTGCGGGCCGCCTCCTCCAGGAGCTCTTTACAGTACGGAGCTCTGATCTCTGGCCCGGTTCTGCCGGGCCCGGGGGCTTTCTCGGTCCGTGAGTGCAGGAGGGAGTGGAAGGAGTTGAGTTTCACGGAAAGCTTGGGAGGAGAGAAGGCCGAGCACTCCTTCTGCCCCGCCTGAGCCACGCTGGGGGGCTTCGGATCAGGCCGCTGGAAATCCAGCGAGTCCTGCAGAGACGCAGCTCGGGACCCTTCCAGCTTGGCGGCGAGGACGGCCTCGGGGTCAGGAGGCTGGCTCTCGGTGGGCATGGCTTTGGGCTCCCACACAGAACCGGGCTTCATGTTCTGCACGGCCGTGGCGTTGAACAGACACTGCTGGTAGAGCAGAGCGTCACCCAGGCTGGCGGCGCCGCGGGGCCACATCACGAAGCCGCCCCGTGACGGCTGCAGCGGGTAATGGCGGTAGGTTGTGGCCACGCTGACGTTGGAGGAGATGAGCTCCACGTTAGAGCCGGACGGGTACTGCATGGACAGGTCCAGGCAGTTGGGGCCCAGGAAGCCACACAGCTCTTTGGGCTGCGGCTCCACCTGAGCCGCCGGAGCAAAGGACGTCTTATAGGAGTTGTAGTCTGCAGTGTGATGGACCATCCCGTTTGGGAAGACCAGCGTTCCCGGGACTGCCTGGCTGCTCTCCATCAGCTCCCGCTCTTTGTACTCGCGCTCCAGCATGATGGTCTCCAGCTCCTTATCAGCAAAGGCCCTCCTCTTCCTCATCCGGTCGCTCAGCGGTGGAGGAAGGGTGGTGTTGGCTGCCAGGAACGGGTCGGGCTGGACTGGACGGTACCCTGTTAGGAAACACAAATAATCAGCTCCAAACTCCAGAAATGTAAACAATAACTGAAACTGGGTGTTAATCTGCGGTTTTACCTTCGAGGATGCTCTTGGCGAGCATGGTGGACGGTCGGATGTGCCGCTGGTAAATCCTCCTCTCTGCTGGGATCTGTTTGGAGATTCCTTTCTTATCCTGAAAAACAAAACCGACAACGTTAAACCCGACTGTCAGGATGTTCGTCTTGATGCTTGAACAGTGACTGATTAGTCACAGATTAGAGTCAATCTGTTTGGATTATTTAAACCAACAATCTCTAGAATACTCTGGGAGATGAAAGCATCAGGAGTGTTCTGACGCGGAGCGGGAGCAGCTGAGATGGTTCAACTTTTACTCTCAGAAAATAAAAGATTTTTTTATTTGGCAAAACTTTACGAGATATTTTAAACTAAAGAAAAATTAGAAACAGAAATTATACAAAACGAGAAGATTTAAACAGAGAAGTTAATTAAACAGGAAGAAAAGATATTTAACCAACACACAATAATAAAATGATCTAAATACATTTTATTTATTTCCTTAATTATAAAACCATAAATATTAACATCTGAATAAAATATAAAAACATACATTTGTAAAAATTAAGAATAAACTTTTTGTGTTTTAATGTTAGAATTTAAATGATCTTTATTATTTTTAATCAATCACAAATAATTGAATTTGTCATGCAATCGTTTCAGTTTAAAGTCATTTTTTTGTTTTGTTTTATGACAATATTTACTAATAAATTATGTCTGTTCAGTTTTTATTCTGCAGATTCTCTCATTCCTCCTTTAACTTTAATTTGTTTAAAACAAGATGAAGATCAAACTTGAGCTCTAGAATTTATTATTATTATTATTATTATTATTATTATTATTATTTGTATTATTTGTATTAATTGGGGGGTTTGTGGGAAATAACGTGTGATGTGATAATTTTACAGAATAATTTTAAACTAAACATTTATGAACTAGATTATTATAAAGCAACGAGAGGAATCAAATCTGAATTAAAATCCTAAATAAATCCTGATATTTCCGGTGAGAAACCCAGAATGTTCCGAGTCCGGTTCCTGGTTCTACAGACCCCCCCAGACCCGGACCCACCTCCGTGGCTTGCTGCCTCCTCAGGGCCACCTGGGCCGCCATCACCCGCTGCCGCTCCACCACCAGCAGGCAGTTGGCACACTGGCAGTCCCTCCAGCGGCAGAACCGCTTGTGTCCCTTCAGACAGGACACCACGCCGTGGTTCCGGCACCGAGCGCACTTCGGAGTCCGGCTCAGCTTCCTCTGGTCCCCTGAGCTCAGGCCGCTGGGGCCCGGCTTGTCGTCTCCATCGTCCTCGGAGGCGGCGGGCCCGAGCGGCGCGGAGCCGGGCCGGCTGCTGGACTCCGCCTCGTCGCTCTCCAGACTCTCCACGTCGATTTCGAACTCGCAACCGGCGCTGTCTGACATGTCTGTCCGCTTCCTGGGTCCGGTTCGGATGCTGCTTGGATCTGAAGATTAAACCGGATTCGTGAATGAACCGTTCAGAAATGACGTAACTAAAAAAAATTAAGTTCTAGAATTTAAAACGACTTTTCAATCAATATAAAATGTAAAATAAGCTGATGTTATTAAAATTTAAGCATTTAATCCAAGCTAAAGAAGCTTGATTTTATGTTGTAAACTTTGGTTTTAGGCTGTTTCACATTTCCATCTCTCCCCTTAAACCCGTGAGTGTTCCGTTTACCTCCGGGGTCCGGTAACCTGCTCGTTAGAACCGTGATGGATGAGTCTGACTAGCCCAATTAGCCGTTAATTGCCCGGATGAAGGAACGTCTCCCCGCAAACGCCTCCAACGTTCCTCTGAAGCAGAAACTCACATGGACACAGATATGAGGGCGCTCTCCTCGCTTTGATTGGCTGCTTCCAAACCAGCTCGGCCCAATGGGATCACAGGTAGCTGTTTGGGTGGGCGGAGTCCGGAAATGACTACAAATGCTACAGTTAGCAGGCTAGCTGTATGTTGACTTCTTACACATAAAGAAATGGGTCCAAACAAGAGATCCAGCTTTGGTTTTTACTTGCTAGCATCAGTTAATGAAAGTTACTCAACTTTCATAAACCATAATATTCTAAAATATAGCTAGCTTGTTTAGCTAACTACTCATTTTATCACTGTATTTGCCATTGTTTAAGAAAAACATAATTATTTATGAAACCCATAATCTTGTAGGATTTAGGCAGGAAAATTAGTTTTCTTGTGTTTTTATATTTGATTATGATCCTCCTCATTCAGAGCGCTGTAGGTGAGCCTAGCTACTTCCATATGGGTCATACATTATACCAGGGTAGGTCAGAGAGAGCTGCATTCCTGCTTGTTTTCCAACTTTTTTTTTTTTGTTCCTGCTATTGATTACCTGGATCAGGTGTGTTCAGCCAATTAGAAGAACTGCAGGACTGCAGCTCTCTAGGGCCAGGGTTGCCTACCCCTGGATTATACATTCATTAAATAAAGTCATAAAAGTTATGGAGGGTTTACACACCACCCATAAATAGAGGCTTCAACTAAGGCCATTTTGTTAAGAAAGGATTCACGTCTGTAACCTTTTATTTGAAAATGACAATTGCAACGGATTATGCAATCAGTGAACGAGTCAGTGCTGGAGATACCGAGTTCCAGTTCCAGCGTCTGTGCTGGGTTGATTCTGAAAGTGAACCTGTTATGAATGAAAATCCAGTGATTATTTGTGATACTTTATTAAAATGTGTGTATTTTGCTGACCAGACAGGGCAGACTTGTTGACCTCAGTTTTAAGCAACACTTGAGTCTGTGAGTTCTCAGAATGTCATGAGATAAATAGCCAAAATGACTTTATTTAGGTCAAAGTCCAAAGTGGATCAGCTGTAGTTTTTCATTGAGTTCGTGACGAGATTATCGTCCAACGGAATAACAGGGTGGACACCAGCTTGTGGCAACGTTTTAAAGGTCAACTTTACTCATATTTTTTATACATCTGCAGGGGTCTCTAGTCGGAAGGGATGCCTCGCAAGTCATCCTCTGTGGTGAAAAGCTCTGGTGTGCCTGTTTGAGGCCATAGAATGGAAAACAACGCGATTTGGAGTCTTATTTCCTGATATTTGGACGTCTCTCCTCTGATTGGCTAACAGCAACATGACTCTACCACTGACTGTGCTCTGCAACGTTGATGTTTTATCTCCACAAATAACTCAAGCCTGGGGGAGTTCTGCTGTGTGGTGGAGTTGCTAATACTAATGGTTAGCTTCTACTTGCTGAGACGTTCTCCGCTGGTTCCCGGACGCTAAGCGAACAACAGCCGTCCCCGTCGCGAGCCAAGATGGGTGAGTCCATGAATGTTAACCCTTTAGGCGCCAGAGTTTTTTTCAAGAAAATATTCAGTTTTGACATGACTAATAATACTAATAAACTGTAAATGAGAAAAATCTTTAGTAGGACCCAAAGTTTGTGTTGGGAGCAAATTCAATCATCTCATTTGCATATTATGATGTCATCAGGCTGCTGTACTCGAGTGCATCATTTTTACAGATGTTCCTCTTTATTTTTACGTTATTTAGAATTTTCCATTATATTTAGAATTTTGTATTTATACATATATACATGTGGTATAAAGCTTTTTCGAAAATTTAATACAAGTTTTTATCTTTCTTACATTTTTTGTTATTTAAATTGGCCTCGCTCAAGAGAAATGCTTTTTAGCCATATTTGTCAGGTTTCTTTGGGCTTGTAGCTTCAGAGGTGTCCTTCCCTTGCATGTAATGATCATTTAATCCAAGGGTAAGAATGAGTATTTTTGATTTTGTGGCACACTTTGACTTCCATATATAACACATCTGCTGCTTTTTTTATGACATTTTTTACATTGCTTCCATGCCCCAAATACAGTGAAACTAACTTCAAACTTAACGTTTGGCGCTTGTAAGCTCCATACACCTCACTCTGGTGCAGCGCCGGCCGTCCATTGCTGCCCGCCGCAGAAGCGTCATCTTTCCGGCTGGATGAGTGAATTTATTCATCAGAGTCATATTCTGCTTCATATCGGAGTCAGTCGAGACCAGACAGAGATCCGTCAACAAAGACCAGACCTGCCAACAATCGTAAGTGTTAACCCTCTAATATTTGCCTTCTTCGAGCTGCGCTCGTCTCCTCCTCTCCCCCACCAGGAACCTCTCGGCGGGAGGTTGTATTTTTTTGTTGTTGTTGTTTGCATCTCCAACATCATGGCAGCGCCCACATAGATGTGCACAACTGCACATACCATACTAGGGATGTAAGAAAATATTGATATGGCAATATATTGTGATATTTTGTCCAGCAATATTATATTGATATTCAAAAGCCGTGTATCGGAAATATCGACATGGCAATATATTGTGATATTTTTTCCTGCGATTATTACATCGATATTCAAAAGCCGTGTATCTAATTCTTGAAAGAATTTACATGCAAACTGTTGTGTATTTTCTTGTCATTTTGTGCAATTCAATCGCCACCCGCTAGTTGGCAGCAGTGAGCAACGGGTTTTGTTTCCACCACTGAACTGTAAATCCCTCCATCATGGTTCAGATACCTCATGTTAAACATGTTACGTATCAGTTTGGACTGTTTATTGAACATTCTTACAATAAATTCAGTAAAAAAAATTGCTTGTAACGTCTGACTGAATGTATCGCAATATATCGTGATATATCGTATCGTCTCCCCTGTATCGTGATATGTATCGTATCGCCAGAATTTCAAAAATACACATTCCTGTACCATACCGTACCAAATTTATTTGTATAGCGCATTTAAACACGGCATGAGAGCCGACCAAAGTGCTGAACAAAAACACACAGTAAAAACAATCAAAAATAAAAACTAAATAAATTAAAATCGAGTAATTCAAATCAAAAAGAAAAGGAGAAAGAGAACAAGTTAGACTGAATTAAAAGCCAACGAATAAAAGTGAGTTTTTAAACGAGACTTAAAAAGGGAAAGAAAGGAAGAGAGTCTGACCAGGAGGGCCAAGTGTTTCCAGAGCTTCGGTGAATAAACTGAAAAGGCACGCTCCCAGCGGGACTTACAGCGGGAGCTAGGGACATGGAGAAGGTGCTGGTCGGCTGATCGGAGGGATCTCGTAGGGACATAAGGGTGAATGAGCTCAGACAAGTAGCCAGGTGCTAAGTTATTGAGGGATTTAAACACAAAAACCAGGATCTTAAACTCTATCCAGAGATGGATGGGGAGCCAATGAAGATTTGCTAAAACCGGTGTGATGTGTTCTCGCTGCCTGGTGCCAGTCAGGAATCGAGCTCCTGCGTTCTTCACTAGCTGAAGGCGAGCAAGAGTGGAGGAGGAGATACCATATAGCACTGAGTTGGAGTAGTCGAGACGGGAAGTAATGAAGGCATGGACAACTGAATGGAGATGACGCCTTTTTAAAATGGGCTTAACTTTAGAGAGACGCCTCAGGTGGTAAAAACAGGTCTTAACTACCTGGTTGACATGAATGTCCATTTTTAGTTTAGCATCCATCACAACCCCTAAGTTTGTGACATGGGTTTTCAACCCACTTGGGATAAAAGGAAGGGTCAGTTGGGGACTTTGAGAAGTCTTAGGGCTGAAAATGATAGCCTCTGTCTTGGCATCATTCAGCAAAAGAAAGTTTTCCGACAGCCAGCTCTTCACATCATTGCAGCATTCAACAAGGGGCTGTAAGGAGTCATTAGGCTTCACAGTGGCATATAATTGGCAATCGTCTGCATATATATGGTAGTCAATGTGCTGTTTTCTAAAAATGTCACCCAGCGGCAAAATATATAAATTAAATAAAAGGGGTCCAAGAATAGAGCCCTGAGGAACACCACAAGTCAAAGCTGCAGAGGGGGAGGCAGCACTACCCATCATAACATTAAAGCTGCAGTCACAGAAGTAGGACCTACCAATCTAAGGCAGTCCCCTGGATGCCGACCAGCTGGTCACACGAGCATCAACTACACGTAAACTTCACTCATCATTAAACAACTACTTTCCAGATGCATTGTGGGAAACTCTAAACCCCACTTACACCCACACATGTAACAACTAGGGTTAAAAGCTCTGAATAGGATTCGTGTATTTTCTGAAAGAACGTGTTACGGTGACTCTGCGAGGTGTATCATCCTCCCAGGCCGCGTTGTGTTCTTGACAGTGAAAGCAGAACGCAAACCCACCCTCGTTGCCCGTTCCAGGTCAGTCGTTGGTGTCATTTTTCCGGTGACTCCGGAAAACTATTTTGGTTGAAGCTGTTTTCAGTAAAGACAGCAGAAGTGGATTAAAAGCCGTCAGGTAGCAGCAGTGATGTCAGCGCTGTTGACAGAGTGCAACAGTGATTAAAGTGTTGGACCTCTAAACAGAGCAGGTAAACAGGTGACATGTGCTCCCTGCAGGTCGTTGAAGTTTGCCCTCCTGGCAGACGCTACTGAGGTGTTTCCACAACAATCACAACTGGCACAAAAACATGGTGTCAGCAGAAGAGGAGCTAGGTGTGAAGTAAAAGCAAGCCTGTAATAGACTCACCTTAACCTTTAACTCAACCTACCATAACAAAAACACGTCTCAAACCACTTTTCTGTCATCCTTAAGAAACAGAGACACGTTTTAAACTTTAGATTATTTAATTGGAGTTAGAAACCGGAGCATCTGTGTCTGCTGACTGCAAGTCGGGCTAAAAGACAAAAGATAACCAGTATTTACCCAGAGCCAACGGACGGCCGTGGGAACGGACACCCGGGGCTTTTAAGCTTTTGTCTGTGAAGGGAAATGGAAGCAGAACGTGGAGGCTTTATGACGAGTTACAAAGGGATTGTGTTTGTCTGTTTT